AGTAGACGAAGCGGGGCGCATTCAAGTTCGAAATAAATGGTCCTTTCAATCACAGCCTCTGCTTCGGATTGACTGAGATATTGTCGGCGCAACCCTGGGGAAATATTCAACCATCTGGAGGTATGTGTTTTTCGGGGCTTACCTTGTAACTGAGTGTCGGTAGAATTGTCCAACTTGGATAGCATAACTTGGAAAGCTTTGATGGCTTCATCATAGTGTTGTGCGCCATGCATCGCCGCATGTTTCAACTGGTATCCAAGATAAGAGGAAGGGCTGAGTTCGATGACCTAGGTATTACCAAAATCAGCATAAGCTATGAAGCAATAGAAGCAATCCTACCTTTTCCGCATCGAAGAGTGCATCGTCCCATAGCATTTCTTCTAACCTAGCCTTACTGCGGTTTGCAAAGATAGCCTCGGTTGCAAAATCCAAGTCGATCGCCGCTGAGTATAGATCAATAGCTTTATCGAAATCATGCGCATCCAATGCAGCATCTCCGCTCGCCGGAAGGGCATCTCCGTCGACAGTATAGAGCGCACTGCATCTTTGCTTGAAAACTATGCCAAATGCGAGTAAGATCTGTTGTCTGGTAATACGACTGAAGACTTACCAGTGGACCAACCAAGGCATCTAGCCTTGGTCGCTTCGTCGCTCATATCCATCATATATCGATACGATTCATGGGCTTCTCGAGGCATACCTGCGCGGAGGAGTGCATCGCACCGCCTCTGGCTTGCAACTTGCCACAGGTGCTTGAGGTTCCATCCAAAGAGCTAGACAGATCGCGGAGTTAAACATCAAGTTTTTCGGTTGTATTGTATCAACATACCACGACAAAGTCCTCATATGTAGAATGAATGGCTGACTGAGAGGTGGAAGCGATGGTATTGATAACGACAGCGAAGTGTTCATCAGCTTCGTTTTCATAGGCACCATCAAAGGCGTTTATCCCCGGTTGGAGACGTAGGTACGCCTGATATTAAAAGTTCCGAAAGTTCAGTATCAACGACCGTGAGTCTGAGAGTGCACGGCACTCACTTCCACGATATGACAGACAGGAATATCTGCCTTAAGACAAACATTAGTCAACCTTTGGATGCGCATGATGGCGTGCTCGTGTTGATTTGCATTGAAATAAGCGATGGCCTGAACTTGGTGAAGCAAAGTGAAACACGAGAAAATATTGACGTGCCTTAATCAGGAGGAGAATATGGGTAGTCTTTGAGTATTCGTTGGTAAACATGAACGCGAGGTCAAATGCTTCCGTCCCGTCCTCGACCTGCATTTTTCCGCAGAGGGCGATGCCCTTGGAGATCCAACCTGTCAAGGAATGTTGAATACTGATGGACTATGTCACCATCAAAGTGAGTTAGCCTTTCAGAGTCATGATGGGACAGTGTATCCCACCTCGAGTGCATCATCAAGCGCGTGGTCCCAATCGGCTTTTCGCGCCCTAACAAATGAGCGATTGGCATAGGCATTGTGGTCGTTGTGGTCAGCGTAAATCTGTCGTGTTAGCAGAGCTTCAGCAGTGTGCAAATCCCCAGTTATGCATGCATTGCGGATTGCAGTGTTCATAGTGAGAATCTGCGTGAAGCACGTTCACATTTATAAGACCCGATAGTAAAAACATACCTTGGAATCAACCAAAGAGTCTTCCAGCATTGGCCAATGCCGATCCAATAACTCCCTACCTTTACCTTCACCACGGATATGTTTACCATACGTGGAGTATGTGTCAGAGTACACGCCATCAGAGTGTTTGAAAATGGCGATGGTTCGTCGATCCAACAACCGCCGAAGTCGAGGGTGGTCCGTGGATGCGGAGGCTACGAAGCTAGCAGTGGAGTCCCCAGTAATAGGGTTGGCCGCAGTATGACCTCTCCAGGGATCACCGACTTGCTCCCACGTTGATGTATCCCACTCCTGTATGGTGGGATCTGGATTGGAGCCTGAAAGTAACCGTGTACCATCAGGCGTCCATGCAAGTGAATAATTCCAGGCTGGATGGGGCGCAGCGTAACTCTGGCAACGTGCGATGCATTGCCTGTTGCCTGTAGTCCATATCTGAATATCCTTCGATGTTGCGATGGCGAGATATTCGCCAGTCGGGGAATGCCGAACACAATGAACATAATCACTGCAATCGATGACATTCCCTTGCATCTGCCATGTCCCTGTGCTCCAGAGCTCTGTTGTGGTGTCCCATGAACCACTCGCCAATACTGCGCCGATTGGAGAAAAGTCCAGCGACACGATCCGTTTGGAGTGAATTTTGATGGGTTGAGTGAGAGATTCACCGGTGTGACCGTCCCATGCAATGAGCTCTCCGTTAGCATCACCGCTTGCTATCAACTGCCCATCTCCTGATACTGCCACTGCCCCCACCCAGGTGCGATGTCCCTTCATTTCCTTCAACACAAGACCTGTCTTCAAGTCCCACAGGCAAAGTGTACTATCTCCCAAGCCGGTCACCATGTGTCGTCTATCGGGGAAGACTGCAGCTACAGATACAGCACATTCACGAGCATCGGGGACTGCGGTTGCAGATACGGCGCATTCACGAGCTTCGAAAGCTCCCACAGGCGTGGTGATCAGAAGGAAGGGGTATGCTGACTGTGCCATTCAGAAGGATGTTGATAGTGTTTAGCACGATTGAGGTAGGCTTGCTGTGAGCAGTGAATGTTGTGGGGACTTACTCCACGTTATACAGAACAAGCATTTCTATTCCCAGCTCAGTTCTTATCGGACGCCTAAGGCGAAGCTCTTGGCTGGGGGAAAATTACGATGGGCTGATGTGAATTCTGTACACGGTGCCAAATGCTAAATGAAACAGGGCAACCTGCCAGAAGCTGGCCCGAGTAGGTCCCGATATAAGTCGTATTATACTAATTAGTAGTATTATGTAATGGTGCCGCAGAACGCCCATCAGTAGCGTAGTCAGATCGTTAACGTTCATCGTCACGTTCAGAGCATTTCAGGCACCACTAGGGCATGAACTCTACACTGGCAAGACTGCACTCCGGATCGGCACCGTCCACCTCGAGCAGATGGGCGGAAGCAGTATAATGTTCCAAGGATACACATTTGAACATACTCTCAGAAGACTCAGAACAGGCTGGAAATGAGCAGGTCCCTCACCATAATACCATGGCGAAAAGGCGGAAGACAAGGCCAGCTCAAAGAGGTAGCAACCCGTATTGAGGTCTCAAAATGCATCCTTCACCTCTTTGGGTACTTTTCACTAACGTCATGGGTCCTGTCATCTCAGGCTGTATGATCCAGTGCTAGGACCTAGAATAAAGTCAACGTTTCAGCATCCGAGACAGGTGGGCGGACCCCAGCAGTCGACAGTCACACCGCGGAGGCCTGTGCTCTAGTTGCAATTATAGACATCAATATTGTTGGTCGAGCACTCGCCACAGATTAATCTGTTGTAATCTCCATGCGTGTGATTACAATATGTTGCTATTTTCAGCCACGAGTCAGTGTGATAATAGAGAATCAAGGCTGCCACGTACGTCCGCTTCCTCCAGGGTAGGGTTGTTGCGGGGATGGAGACACAGATAACCGCCCAATTGAGATATTTGAAACAAGGGCAACTTCAATGTCGATCACAAAATGGATCAGCACAACCGGTTTGTTAACCGTTTGTGGGTGAAGAAGCGAGCAGGGGGCCAATGTGAAATAAATCGACCAGGGTCCGGTGCATATCGAGCCTCTGTTATCCACCGCAGTAAGGTATCAAGTCGTCCACAATTTTCATCCCAACAACACTGGCATCACCATCCGACAGCAGAATGTGGGGAGCAGCGGAGTCCATCGCTCACATGGCAATATGTACCTTTTCGAGAGTCTGAAGCTCGTACAGATACTGTACGTGCAGTCGCAGCTTTCCCTGGTGGACGACGTGTAGTCACAGGCTCGGTAGACAAGACACTCTGCCTGTGGGACTTAAAGAAGGCGTTGTGTTGAAGAAAATGGAGGGGCGTCGCAACGCAGTCTAACGCAGTACGGGCAATCGCGGTATTGAGAGACGGGCAGTTCATAAGTGAGCGGGGATTATAACGGAGAGCTTATCATTTGGGACAAGCGACACTATAGTTCTCTCACCCAAAATCATAAAAGCTCACTTCGGGTCGATCCACTCGTTGGACTTTTCTGCAGATGGTGCACTGCTAGCAACCAGTTCATTGGATGGCGCCGTGAAGCTCTGGAACACCACAACCTGGCATCTGCAGGGAAATCTACTAATTGACTGTCATGCAGCAGTCTACTGCATTCAGTATGCACCATGATCCGGAGAATACCTTGCTATTGCGACATTCAGGAATGTCCAGATTTTGATTACAGACACGAATGAATGCATCGCAAACCTCACGGCTCCGAACGCTGTGTTCAACTTATTACTCGCATGGATGCCCGATGGTTCACGGCTTCTCTCAGTGAGCATCATTCTTGATATGGGTTTGACTCGATTCATTAACCTGGTAGCAGGTCGGTGATTCCTGGACAGGCCATACTTATCAGGTGAATGCCATTTCCGTGAACTCTGCTGGCATACTTGTCGTCTCTGCATCCGATGGTAAACACGTCCGCCTCTAGCGATCCTCTAGTCGACGAACTATTGCCATATTTAAGTCCCCCGATAATGTGTATTGTGTCGCATTCTCAATGAACGGCAAGTATATCATCAGCGGGAGTGCCAATAAGGTCTCACAATGGGTAGTACCTGGTATTGTTTTGCTAGAGGACTATCCCCAGGAACGGGTTATAGAAGTACGTTCCTATTCATCTCCTGTACCTCCGTTATCTCATCTCATTCTAAGGACGTGTTGTTGTTGAAGTCTTCAAGCGAACAGTAACAACGTAAGTCCACGTTGCATCTCGCGTCACTTCGTTTGCTTCCATATCGACTAACTAGTCAGCATTCAGCCCTCCTCGACAGGTTGTATCTCCAAAGGCATTGCTCTCTGTGGAACAATGAACCTCAAAATGCGATGAAAGCATTCAACCTCGCGTTCATATTCACCAGAGATTCGCAAACAGTTGATCCTCTCTTTATCAAGGTACGTCCACTCTTTCTCGCAAAGTCCCTTTCTTATTGCCGTTTTCAGGCTATTGCGCTTTTTAATGCAAATCAGCACGAGGACGCAATGCAGCGTGCTCAAGAGCCGGTTGTCGCTTGCCCTAATGCTAACACTCTTGTCTGTCGTACCGTGGAAGTCAGTTTCAAACAATATATCCAGTCCATACATGTTTGACGGATATTTATAAATTTCACCCATCAGGCATATCTGCATGCTCAAATCGGAATCGACGTCTTGGATAGCTCGCGTTACGATGAAACTGCTGACCACTTCACTACCGCCATCAACATTAGCACATTCTTACCTGAATCGGCCATTCATTCCAGATACGGGGACTTTGCGGTGGTACGTTGATGTGATGCAACTAAACGTGCTTCTCGTGCCAAAAGCCCAGCTGTTCGGGTGGGAATTCAGGCCCTTGTGGCAAATTGCAAACAAGAAACGGTGTCATGCACTCCTTCGTGTGGGTAGACCTGGAGAAGCCCTCAAATTGTACCGATGCATGATGGATATGAACGATAACGCTACGAAGGCAACCTGCTTTGATTGGTGTACCGGTAAGTCTTTTGGAATGTCTACAGACTGCAATACGTATCTGCGTTCACTCTGTGACGCAGCTTTCAAGCAAGAATGCATCATGTTCTATACTGCTAACGGAGTCGCCGACCTTATTGGGAGTGGAGATGCTGCCCTTGCTGCGGGCGAGTACGACAGGGCTATCGAGATCTGGCGCGCTGGCAAAAAGCACTTGGAACACGCTCGGATGGACTATTCCAAAATTTCTGGCTCCCAAGGTCACTCTCTCCTACCAAAATGATTGGACCTTACATCTCGATGATCACTCTCCGAACCACAAAGAGTCTCCCCAGATCATGCAGGAGTTGTAAAGTACAACAGGTATAGATGCACGGGCTCTCGTCGACATCCTCCCCGGGATGAGACGCGCACGAGAAAGATTGCAATCCGTGTCGAGGCGTGTCACCACGTTGCAGGACATCGCATACTCTCTGTTCGGGACCTTCGGCGTCCAGCTACCTATTATGTATGGTGAGAAGAAACAAAACCGGACAGCTTTTGCAGGAGATGGTAGCTCAGTCAGGGGACAGTACTGCCCCTGACTGTGTGGGAAGATCTTCCGAGTTCAATAGTTGTTTGCCTGCAGACATCACTTCATACGAAGCTCAACCACACCCTCTGCCATCTATATCTGCGAACGAGATGCAAATATCAGTCTTCGCGCCGCGACACTCCGGGAATTTGAAGTTGGCTGTGAAATTGCGCAACATACTTTATCAACTGAGCGCCTATGATTCTGCAGTGCACATCGTATGTGTAGAAGGCGTTGCTCTGGCCGAACTGCCGCCCAGATATGTGAGGATGCATTATGGTGATGAATGAGAGCCGGGCGACTGCATTCAGAGTGATGCTTTTCCTTTGTACTTAGTATGCGTTGTCGATCATATAACCACCGTGAGTGTACAGCGACGAACTGAGAGATGCACATGTGAACAGACAGCCATACCTACATACTGGATGGATCGAGATTTGTGAACAAATCGAGAAGTAACCTCATAAATTATAATTAATTATAAATATACACTGCTCGGGTTGGCTTATCACATAACTTGAAACTTACACCTAGCCTACTTAGATGCATCGGGAACACCCCCAGCGTCAACAAGACATGTTCGTGATGCCGTTGCAGGCGCTCAAGCAGCCCGTGCCTATCTCTTTACGCTCAGACTCTTCATTACTACACTGGCTTTTATTTTGGATCCAAAGACCTACAGCTTATTCATGTCAAAAGCATCGAACACTGACGGCACCGAGGAGCAGTACGTCCGTACCAACGAGCAGCCTGCTACCGAACGGGGCGCCTTCTATCTACTTCTAACCTAGGGCGGAGATTATTAGGCGTCCTAGGGTGATAAGCAACGAACAATAATAGGAAGGCTCTTCGACGTTCGGCATTCCACTTTCGCATGCCGACTGCCGCAGCAGGTACTAGCGGGCTTTGCCACTTGACATAGCTGGCCCTACGGCTTATACTGTGACACCGGTACCTACTCGACGACAAATCCAGAACGTGTCGAATTTCAAATCTAGGCAAAAGGATAGGTCGCTTGGCTTGGCTTATATCCACGACTTACGAATTTACACCAATATGGCAACATTCGCGGACATCCTCAGCGTCAAGAAAGACGTGTTCGTGATGGTTGCATGCGCCCAACCAACTTGCTGTGTACCACCACTGCTTATATTTGTGCGCTCAGACTGTTCGCAATTCCACTGCCTTGTATTTTGGATCCAAATAACTATAGCTCTCACTTACTCATGTCAAACTTAGCATCTAGCACTGACGGCGCTGAGGACCAGCGTGTCCATGCCGACGAGCAGCCTGTTCCAGAACAGACACTAGGACCCCTGGAGGATTCAGAGTAAGTCGCTAATTCCTGAGATCCAGTGTCACCCATATAACAGGAAGATAGGGAGAACGAAAATGATAGACCTTCAGTGGTGAAACCATCATCAGGGAGGTAATTAGTTTTGTTCTGATGCTTCTGTGTAATTCCTCACGAGAACTGTAGCTCGAAAACTGGACGTTCCCAGTCATCGGAACGTCGCGAACAGGAAAGTGCTTCCAGAGTCGCACAGGACGGTGATTTAGCTTCGTGAGTTCATCAATAGCAATTTTAAATAAAGCTCATAAATTATCTTAGTCAGGTGGAAAAGGTCGTGGCGGAGAAGGAGCAGCCGACTCTAAGCAAATTGTGAGCGACAAATTAGGCAAATGATTACAGCTGACAAGATTCTACGTGCAGAGCACATGTCATGGAGGAAGTGCTGGATGTTCTCCAGAACTCGACGATTGCGTCGATAAGTGGCCAGGACAATCGGTATCGTTTCTGGGGGCTGTACGGACAAGTCGCAGGGGAACACGACCAGAAGTTTCTCGACCGATACACCAACGACATGGAGAGTATCTTGCTCTTCGTAGGTTTCGCATGTGTATCTTTGATCCGTTTTGAGACTGATGTTTGATCAGTCTGGTCTTTTCTCCACTGTCAGCTCGTCTTTCATTGTCGCCATGGAGTCCGATCTCAGTCCTGACCCAAGCGACACCACGAATGCCCTTCTCGCGCAACTCGTGCAGATCGGACTGGGCAACCTCGCTGCAGCAGGCTCCGCGCCTGTAGACCCAGCATCCACATGGTCGCCGTCTGCGTCGGCTGTGAGGATCCAAATGATCGCATACGCAAGCTTGTCCATGAGCTTGTTGGCAGCGTTCGGGGCCGTCCTAGGCAGGCAATGGCTCGGGTATTACAAGTTCTACAGATACGGTCGCGGCTCGCTGGAGAACCGAGGAAAGCGCAGACAAGAGATGTTTGACAGCCTGGCCACATGGTATTTCGATGCTGTTGTACAGTCCTTTCCCGTCTTGCTTCAGATCTCTGTTCTTCTCTTTGAGATTGCCCTCGGCGCTCATATATGGTACAAACAACCCAGCATCGCTTGGGTGATTATTGCCACCACGGTCTCTGGATTTTTGTTCTATTTGCTAACAGTGATGGCATGTTTGATATCTCCTTCTTGTCCATTTCAGACGCCGATGTCGACAATCTTACGCATGTTGCGCATCGACAGTAAGATTATTTCGTGAATTCTCGTGGTCGTTCTCCGTCTGAATCAACATTGCAGGGGTTCTACGCCCAGCGTTCAAACGAGTCTTCGAGTTTTTCCGGCAGCTGAAGACGTCAGCGCATGGTGAGCCATATTTTATTACATATTCTCATATTTCGACCGTTTCTCATCAGGCGTGTTGCTAGGAATGCTTGGTACCCTCAGACCAAGTTGGATTCGATTTTCCGAAGCACTGGCAGGTGAAGTTCCTCTCTACTCTTACACAAGATATCTAGTGCTCATTTCACTCCCCAGGCATTGTGTGTTCTACTTGTGCATTCGTACGACGACCTGTTCAGCTATTATTCGCCGTGCTTCGCAAAATGCTGCGTTCTTTGGCTCCGTGTTCTTCGACAAAGGTTAGGGACTCAGAGGCACAACCGCTAGACCAGGATCTAGATGTTTCGGTGGAGGAGAAATCTATCCTTACCCTCGACCTCCAGGACATACCCACCAGTGATCTCGAAGCACCTAGTATCAAGTGGCTGCTTGAGACATCCACGGATCTTGAAGTAGTTCTCGCTACTGCCAAACTTGTGCCGCAGGTTGAATGGCCCTTGGATCTTGACATTTCAGACATGCTGCATCAGCTGTCTGATATTTTTACGAGTTGTGTCGATGTTCAGGGGAACATCGTACCATCGTTGGAGGAGAAGGCCTCGGCATGTACAACGGCTCTGACACATCTATACTATGGACGTGTTCTTCAGGCACATCCTGACTGTGGCGATTTTATTGCCCGCGAGAGAGGAGACGTTGACGTGTTTTGGGAGATTTTCCGTGGAGGCATCTGTACAACAGACCGCACAGTTCTTCACACGACTATAAATCTTTGTCGTCCAGAAAATGTTCCGTGGGCTCCTTTTTTGTCAGAGGATTGCCCTGACTCCGTCCTTGAGCGGCTGTCGCATCTTCTACCTTATCACTTTGTTACTGGACGAGCGAATACAGACATAGAAGACCTCGCGATAACGGTGATATCAAAATTGCTATCCTCTCCATCCCCTCCGTCGACTCAAATCATAGCCAATTGCACACTTCTTGCTTGCGTCATGGTCGGGACTCAGATTGACAAAAATGACATCGTTCGGATTGATAAAAGGTGCCATCGACTCATTTGATAGTTTTTCTGCTATGATTAACAAAGTGATTGTTTAGTTCTGTTTTGCCTCAACTCAGTGACTTCCTTCTGGCGCAGTTCCAAAAGGCTCTCTGGGCATGGGATGGAGGCGAGCTCGACGAAGATAGCTCAGGAGTCGTGCGTCGGGCATGGAACCTCCTCGATGTTATCTGTCGCATCCTCGAGCTCGCAGGATATCACGATCCTTCATACCACACTATGCGGAACCTGGAAGCGTGCAGGAGGATTTATACACGAACAAGGTCATCCGAACAAAACGATCCCTCGGTTTCTTTGGTAGCTCTGCGAAACGTATTGCACTTCACGTTCGCTGCTGCTAATGTATCTCGTGATTCTGCTGAGTTGTGGTATGCCAGCCCGGTTTGGCCAGGCAATTCCCACTCACCAGAAGACTTCGACTGGATGGTAGACTACCTCAATGACATTTATTCCGACGACCACGAAGCGGCATACGACATCCTTTTGCTACTAGGTACCATAAGAGGGAGCTGCAGCCCTGCTAAACAACATCTATTTATCGAGAGGCTCATCGCCTGCATGGACAGTAACATACCTTTCCATTTACGCCATGCCGCTCTTCGCGCTGCTCACAGTGCCCGAGAAGAAATCGCCTCGATCGATGTCATTGATGACGCGAGGCTACGAGAGATGGTTTTAACCAATCTCTCCCCCGCTATTATGTCCGTGGTTTGTCTGCACCCAAGTCCAATGCCCGCCAATGATGGTTCTGATCCGCTTTTTCGATTATCACCGCGACTTGTGCTATCTGGAAATAATATTTGCCCTCGCGAGGAATTCCATCTGGCACTCCCATTTATCTCAGGATCGCCATATCGATCGGTGCATTAGCATGATTCCGAAGTACTGCAATTCCGAATACTACAGCCAGCATGCCTTTTACATTGCTGGTATCCTCCTCCAAATTGCACCTGAACAGTCATCGGATACATCGCTCGATTCTGTCACAGAGCAGCAGTGGTGGGACGTGATGAGATGCGCGTGGTATTATCTTCCCTATACCATTCGCAGAGCACACGATCCAGAGATCCTTGTCTTTGTGGAACGCACAAAGAAGTATATGCAGATCGCTTCGAAATCTGATATCGAGAATCTCATCGGAAAAGTGGATGATGTTCTCGACAGTATGGAACCGGAGATGGGACTGAATATGCAAGATCTAGAGGAAGGTGGGGCGGTCACCATTGCGGTGAAGAAGTTGAGGGATACAGCGAGGAACATGCTGTAGAACTTAGTCTAATTATGATGGTGCTTGCATGTTGTGTTAGAGTCCTGGAGTCACAGGGTAGTGGCCGCTGACCGCTTGTGCGGAAGTGGGAAGTATCAAGAGATGAACGAAATTAATATTGAATTGTCAGTCAAACGAATCGAAAAGGGATTTGCTGAACATCGGAGTCGGGGACTGGTGCTTGCACCGTTAGTATATATTTATGGCGCAATTGAATTATTCCGCACGTTCGGCGCATTTTGCGTTAGTCCAACTTCTTCGCTATCGATTCCTTGAACCATTTCTAGGCATAATACGCGGTCACGTGATTGTACTATACAATTCAATTAGGTTCATTTGGTGCGGTAAAATGTTGAATCTGAAGTTTAGCTTGGCGAGGGTGCTGCACCTAGGGAGCTACATTTCGAAGGAGAGCATAAATATATAATAAAACGATGACAGCAATCATAAAACAACAATAGTACTAGTGCAAGAAACAATACACTTCTAGAGGTACATACAACCCAAGAAAATCATATGATAATACCTCAAGTCCTGCTGATCAACTTTCCCCTCGCCTGTTCTGAGCTCGTCTCTTCTTGAATTCATAGAATCGCGCTGTTGCAGCCGCCGAGCCTACATACACGACGCATGAATTGATCGTCAACCATCTTGCACAGCGAGCAAAGGAGAGACCAAACACACGCACCTTTCTTCGGCGCACCCCTTCCTATACCCATGAACCACAGAAGAGCTCGCACAGGGAACCATACGACCATCAGCACCCATCCAAAAATCACTTGGAGTGGGCCAACCGCGAGGATGTTGAGTAGTAAGACGACCAAACGCAATGGACCGCTGCCAGGCGTTCTATCGGAGACGTAGAGAATGCATCTGGTGCATTCAATGGTGAAAAAGATCGGAAGGAGGAAAGAAGCGTAGACTGTGCGTGGTATGAGTCGCAGTCGAGCGGAGTAAAGATTAACAATCACGTACGAAAATCGTTCAGAGCGGAAGTCATGTTGTTACAATAACAAATATTGGATCCGGTCGAGCAGGAACTTTGAATTACAGACTATAGACAAGGCAAGATGCCTCGGGCCTCAGGATTGAGATGGATGTTGGTGGTGCAGTTGTGATGTACACTTCGTGGTTTACAACAGTGGTTCAAGAATTTGTCAAAAATCAACAGAAGTTCGGCCAATTGGAAGCCACCCACAGTTGTCAAATTTCGATGCTTCCATCAACCAAGATACTATATATACGTGGAGCTCTTCATACGTTCACGAGTCACGACAGTCTCCTTTCAGTTCTGCAGAACATCCCGAACATGTTTATGTCGATTTAAATTAATAGCAACAAGGCTGCTTTCGGGCGTCATGATTATTCGAGCATTTACAGAAGTACACATCTTGAAACTCTGTTTCTAAGTTATACATGCATTCACAGGCACTTTCTTTACAAGCGGTCTACGGGCGATGTTCACGTCAATGACCGATCAACGATCAAGCTCAATTTGACACTCACTAACGTTGCCGAGGTCACTGCAAGCCTCCTTGACCCGCGCCGAGAGCGTTTTCTCTCCCTCACGAACCCAGACACGGGGGTCATAGAACTGCAATCAGACATGAATGACAGAAATCTCAGAAAAGATAAGCTAGTAACGAACCTTCTTGTTAGGTTTGTCTGCTCCCTCGGGGTTACCAACTTGAGTGAGCAGGTAGTCTTTTTTCTTGAAAACGAAGTCCTGAGAGATAACGGTCAGCCATTGCGCGATCTCCAGGACTGATGGTCAATCGTACCCTAATACCAGCGAGGTAAGCAAACTGGGTATCTGAGTGATAGTTTCCGTGTCAGCGACTGGATTCATTGCTAAACCTAACAGACTCACCGGTATCAACGTTCATTTTGACGACACCATGGTTGACTGCAGTCCTGATCTCCTCCTTGGTTGACCCAGAACCACCGTGGAACACGAGGTAGAGAGGCTTCTCGGACTTGCCACCGAGTTTTTGGCTACTGTAAGCTTGGTGCTTTCCCAGCAACTCAGGCTGGAGCTTGACGTTGCCAGGCTTGTAGACGCCGTGCACGTTACCGAACGCAGCAGCAATGCTGAAGTTGGGGCTAATAGCACTCAAAGCAGCGTGAACATCGTAGATGTCCTCGGGTTGCGTGTAGAGGGATGCGTTGTCGACACCAGTGTTATCAACACCGTCCTCTTCACCTCCGGTGATACCAATTTCCATCTCTAGCCAAATACCGATAGGTGCCATGCGCTTGAAGTACTTGACGCAAGTTGCGATGTTCTCTTCTTTTGGCTCCTCGGACAGGTCAAGCATGTGTGAAGAGAAAAGGGGCTCTTGGTGCTCCTTGAAATAAGCCTCATCGGCAGCAAGCATGCCATCAAACCATTGAAGGAGCTTGTGGGCACAGTGGTCGCTGTGAAGAACGACAGGCCTGATATCCATCGTGGATCAAAATAACATAGATCTCAGGCAAAGGTAAGACTCACACGCCGTAGGCCTTCGCAACTGTGCGAATGTGGTGGGCAGCAGCGATAGCTCCCAGAATGGAAGCTTGCTGGTTGTCATTTGAAAGACCTTTCCCGGCGAAGTAGGCACTTCCACCCTGAGAGACCTGGAGGATGATTGGAGCCTTAATGTCTCTGCGGAGCTGGACATGAGCATTTCGTAAATGACCAAGACTCTTTTGCTGACCTTGCGGCTTCCAAGACCGCGTTAGCGGTGGATGAGGAAGTGACGTTCTTGACGGAGTTAAGCCAGGAGACTCTGATTGATTTCGTCACTCACTATAGCCTGGTGAAGATATCATCGTTTCAGCAGGATCTTTACTTCCGATAGGGAAGGCACTCACAGGAATGGCAAACTATTGAAGTTGAATCGCAAGGCGCCTCATTAAGATGATAGGATACAGTGAAGTCGAGAGAAATTTACCTTGTTCTCCTTTGCGTAGTCGAACAACTTGCGAACGTTATCTCCAGTTAGGACACCAGCCTACGAGGGCGTCAGTGGATCAGCTTGCCCGATGATTGACTGTACTAACGGGAACGATATCGAGGACACCCATGATGAATCGACGAGAGAGTGCGATAATAGTAGATCCGGAACAAGATGGAAAGAGCGTTAGAACAGCCTTTAAAATGGGAGCGAAAAGGTACCTTATAAGCTACCGATGGAGTAGTGAAACGAGTTTGAGATTGATTATAAGCCTCTCCCTCGTCCGATATCACCCATTACTAAATCAGTTTGTCACGTGACTAATATCGCATCATATATACTCAGGTGCAGTGCATACTTGCTAAATTAGGGCATAATCCTTGGAAAAACGTTCGATACAACGAGCATACGACATCCAAATTTTGGAAGTACATTCACTTCGGGATCAACAAGTATGTGATTCCCGGAGACCGTGGTTCTGCAGTCTTCTCCCAGGCCACACCACCGTCCCCCTTGTTTCCTAGGCAGACTCCCAAAGTCCCATAATCGAGCACCGACTTCACACCAAACCATCCCAGGCTAGTCCCACACGGGTCACACCTACTCTTGGCCGATCTTAAAGCCACTCACCACTGGGCTCAACTCGGATTGGTCTGTCCCTTGGCGGGAGTAGAAGTCGAGTGTTAGACTCAAATCATGAATCTTGCTAGCTGCAGGTTGCGGCCCCGGCGCGGCATCAGTTTTAGAATGTGAACAAAGTTACTCTTGATGCGGATAATTACTAAGCCTAACAACGACCCTCGTATTCTCATCACTTGCTTTGATCTAATTGGTCCACTGTAGTCCATCCGCGACACCAGAGAGTGCGGGATTTAGCCGGTCTGCGTGCAAAGTGGATACTCGTGTCCTGTCAGCGAGTTGCACGGATCCAGAAAGTGCTGGGAAGTCTGTCAAGGCTGCCGTACGACGTCACTAGTATCATCCCGCCTGCCTGCCATCAGGATCTTTACCTTCATTCTTCTTGTCCCTGCGAGTCTCTCACACTTCCCTGTCTGCCTACTACTGTTTTTACATATTTCCTGTGTGCCTGCCAACACCATGCCGTTGGATGCAGCTCTCAGTCTGTAACTACCATGTCCTCCTTCAAGATGACTAGAACCGTCACGGCAAGCTGACAAGGATGACGAAATTGGTATGACGGTTGACATAGCGGGATACGTAATGGTGGCCGACGTAGATGGCAGGGTCATGCAGACACCTTTGACCGCCCGGATCTTTCCGATCGCAGACTGCAAGCACACTGGCTTACTGCAGTTTCCATCATCTACATCAATACGGTCCACGATACTAAAACACAGACTTTCAGTATTACCGCTTTTTGGCCTAAAAGTTAAGCGACAGTCTTGACTAATTTACGCAGACATGCCCCCAGACTTTGGCACGCAGTCTGCGCAGATTTCATCCAGACTAGCCATTTCCTACATGACCTCCGTGACACGGCACGCACTGGTTCCTCCTGTCAGTCATTATCGGAATCGCGTAGATTCCGTATGGGCGACCTTCTGCCAGCAGCCGACATACAGCACATGGCAAGAAAGGAACAACTATATTTGGACGTCTGCCTAGCGGAGCCTAACACAGCAGGGTGGGCACCAACATGCATTCGGTATGGACTCATGTCACGGTGGCTTACTTATTAGAACGTAGTCTGAGCAGCCCGCATCAAATACAGAGAGCACGTGTATGCGATGGTCCACGGTAAATTGTCATTGATAGTGCTACTGTGTATATCTCAATTATGAGTCCTGATGGTGCTATTCCTTCGAGCCCTACGACAGTGAACACTATATGACAGGGGGAAATAGCTTTGTGCTCATATTCTGTGCTTCCTGATAGGAATTCTGCGCTCCAATTTGGGCTGGGGTTAACGAGTCATATATCGGGCAAAGTTCGTCCCATGCATCTGTGTACACTATCAGTTAAAGCGGAGCATAAAGATGGACAATCGAATAGTTACGGGGTATATAGCCCAGATGCCGCTGAGTGTCCGAAGGACTTTCGGCCATGACTACAGCGAAACCACTGGCAACACGTGTCAGATTACGGCTGCCGATAATGTCAGAGTGCTCGAGACACGTACGCGTCAAGATGCCAATCAATGTGACTAGGTAAATGATGAGATCAGTGCTAATGCGAGATACATCAATGTCGCAGTGCTTACCAGTGTAGGAACCACGGGCCGGAGTTGTCTGTGACCCATCTAATCACCATCTGATCGCCTGGGACCCCGTTGGATACTACATCCCTGCGTACAGGATTGACGTAGTTAAAAGAACTGCTTCCGGCGCTCTGCACGACATCAAAGCTATGCTATCACTACAGTGAGTAATCGAATGTCAACTGGTAACCAGGAATACTTACACCGTGAAGGTGAATCGGATGCTAGGGAGATGCTATGAGATGTGTGTAACGTAGTGAACGTGCGGGAAACTTACAGGACCAGCAGCACTAACAGCTGGCATCGTCAATTCGACGACCTTGTTAGCCCCTAGAACATATACACTTCCTGTCGGAAGGAGATCGGTTGCATGCTGTGCGCCGCTGAGGATCTGAAGCAGTACGGGCACTGTGGGAGGGATGTATGTGGTGCCGTTGACCGAATATACCCCAGTATTGGTGTTGACCACTAAGTGCATGTTGATGTCTGCCTTTCCGTACTCTGGAATCCCAGGTGCACCAGGATTGATGAATGCATGCAAGTTGGTCTCATTGAGCAGGTTGGTACTGGTGGTGTTTGTAGTAGGCTCCGCAACGGGTGCACCGTTATATCGCAAGATAGCAGAGTTCTGGTTGTTGTCGAAGTTGTTCAAGCCAAAAGTGTTTGGGAGTGCCCGTATCCAGTAGTTGTTGACCGGTTGGTTCGCGACGAGTACAACAGAGTATCGCTGTCCAGCAAGTATCTGAAGCGAGTCCACGAGGAGGGGCTGCGTCAGTTCACCGTCCGCTTCGATTACCGTCAAGTTGTGGTTGTCAATGGAGAACGTAAAGGTGGGATCGCAAGACATTGCTATAAGGCGTAGGCGATATCTTTTCCCGTACTCGATACTGACCACTGCTAGGTCACTCAGGGGTCCCCCTGAATATCTACCGAGACCGTTAATGAGTATGGAAAATGCATTGGTGCCAATTATATGGCTTAAAACAGGGGCAACTGTATGGTACCTATGATCAATTAGTGAGCGCAATGCAAGTTATAAATAGTTCTGGGATGTACCAGTCAGCAAGAGTGATGACGGTGGTCTCTGTGAATGTTTTAAGTGAGCGAATTCACTATGATAGTAGTCACTGTACCGTCGTCAACGTCGTATAAATAGGATAGCGGATCTTCAGGATCATAAATAATAAAACCTCCGCGGAGCCCATCGCTAAAAGGGTTCGAATCATTCATCACGGAGTTAAACATTTCATATCAACACACCACTGTTGGACCGAGTAATGGCTATGATACCAGAAGGTGCCAGCCTGATTCCGAGCCTCGAAGGAGTGCAGGAAGGAGTGATTTTGCGCAATAGGGCATTGAGTAACGAACGAGACTCCATCCGCATAGTTAGTCCCATTCTGCCTGATTCCGTGCCAATGCTAAACAGAGTCGGATGAGCCTGACGCATGAGTATCGAACAGATGTTTACCCACCACACTGGTGCTCAAGAGCATTTCATTGTCAGTGAGTCTGTTCACGACATTTATATCGAAGTGTTCTCCCTTCAACTATAATCAGTGTCTGAGGGCTCGATCGAATTGGCATAAAAAAGGACCTTTCTGGCTGTGATGATTGGACCCGGAAACGTTCCTCCGGCAAGCGTTGCACTATACCAATGATTAAGATGCAAGGAACACAGCAAAAGACAAACTCACGAGCGCGCGAACCCGTCTGGAGATATGACTTTATTAGAAATTACCAAGTCGGTCTTAGGGCCTAGTGTATATGAACGAGAGTTGAGTGAATAGGGATTGGATCGTGAGATGGTGGATGCAGCAGATACTAGATGAAACCATAGCATGAAAATGACATTAAGGAAGAGCATTGTAATGAGTACAAAGGGATAGAATGTGCTACAAAGCACTGGATCATAAGAACTCACCTCAATGTGGTTTGCTCTTATAGAAGTCTTCATTCCAACTTCGGCTGCGAGTGACCGTAAAAAGGTTACAGTCATAGAATGCCAAGCCGTAACTGATAGCTTTTTGGCGTACAACCCCACAGCCCGCCATGCCAAGTTTGACCATAGCACTCATATGGGAGTAATGAGAGCCGGGACTGGAGTTCAGAAAGATTAGCCAACTGGCGCCGAGACCACTTTCAGTTGGAAAGTTCTGGCTTGGAAGCACGTAATTTATCTATGGTTGTCATTCGGCAGATTGAATGATGACTTAGTTCTGATGGCCGTAGGGATTCATATACAACCAGCGGTAGAAAAATGGAATCGAGGTTCAATTGTTCCACTTGGCCGCTCGAAGCTAACCGTGCGCACCACGTGTCCAACGAACACACCCCTGACAAGTGTCCTCGGCTCCGTGCCTGACCTTACGCTAGTGTGGAATTTCAATCCGTCTCGTTTGGTCAAGCCCAGATGATTCGAGGCGTGATTTGACTGATCTTGCTCGTTTGATCAACTAGTCACAGCGGGAGTCCAGAGTGGGCAAACGCAATGTGTTGAGTAGGTTCTATTCGATTTCAAGATGCGAGCAATCCGGAGAGCGTTTTTTTGTTGTTATTCATGGATGACTAATCTTTGCCGATGCGTGAGGATCAAATTATTCAACATGTTTCTCGAACTGGTCTCTCACTGAGTCCACGCGGGCCGCATCATCGATATGTAGTCACTTACTACTAGCGAGCTCCTGTGAGTAACAATTGTCAGACACCAGGAACTGTAATGTAGTGGATGGGGCTGTACCGGGCCTGTTGGCAGTGAATGCTTGTCAAGGCGACTTTGGTTGGTTTGGTTGGGTGTTACATTCCTGACGTATATGAGCGTATAGGTTTAAGGTCGAGGTTTGTACCTGTACACGGAAGTATGGAAGCCAGGTCCGCCGCACTCGCGGTAAACTTTAGCCCCAGAGTCTACGCGGAGTAACCCTAGAGTAGTTAGACCCTTGTAGAGATGTGATGCCGACTAACCAGCACGGTGATCGGTCCCAGTAGCCCTTTCTAGTATGCTCTCCATGCCATATGCTTTATTTTTACTATATCAGGTGAAAACTGACCTAGAGGAATGAACCGACGTCGCAGCAATGCGGTGGCGTTCCTCTGCCACCACATCGAAAAAGCATCTCAAAAAGCGTTAGGTCGGTGAGCATTGAATATTGAGTCCCTGGCATGCTCCAACGTCGAGGGCACACTGGAGTAATGTGGTAAGCTTCAACTTGGTGTCCATTGTCCTGTCCTTAGATATTGTTCAGAGAGAAATAATACGAATTTCCGGCTTCACGGAATGAGCAGTGTATTGACCGTTGTCATGACAAATTAAGTAAGAATTTGGTCTGGTATATGTAGTAATATTACCGGATATTACCGGGGAAAGTTAATTATAGCGGTTCCTATAATAGAGGATAAGTAGAGATTATTATTATTGTGGTCCATCATGCATCAATATGCAAACATTATGCCCCAGTATGCCCCCTAAGAGATGAAAATGATTGGGACGTTGACTACTATATCTAAGGGAGGGGTGATGGTGGGAAGAGAAGTGGGCTGATTTTGGATGCTTCTTCATAAGACTCACGACCTCCGCCCCCTAACTGTGAGGGTGATAAAGAGTCAAAGGTCGGACATAACTGATGCCAATCATCTGTGAAGTAGTTCAGCCATGGAAGTACATTTTACTCGCATATTTCGTACCTGGCACGGTGTTCAAATGTGCGCGGGTGTCAGAGGGACTTTCGGCCATTACCACCGCAAAACCGCTGGATTTAAGGATTAGCTATTTCTTTCACGAGGACGTGGACAAACATACGCATCGAGATGCCAGTCAATGTGACTGTTGGTTCGGGGTTAGTATCCTTCTTGACAACTGGGTAAAATGATGGCATACCAATGCAAGAACCAGGGGCCGGAATTGTCCGTCGTCCATCGGATCACCATTTGTTGATCAGGGGTGCTGCCGGCACTGACCACATCGCGACGAACGGGGTTCACATAATTGAAGGTTTTGCTCCCTGCGCTCTGTATGACATCGAAGGAATGCTAATGATCATCAGTCAGCCTGCAACCATGTCATCAAAGTTACAGCTAACTTACCCCATGAAGGTGTATGGGATGCTGGTACAAGGTATGTCAGGTACATAAGCATTGAAGGAAAGGGAAACACGTACAGGTCCACCTGGACCGCTTGTTGTCAATGTCAACTCTACCACTTTGTTAGCTCCTAGAACAATGACATTCCCCTCTGGAAGCAGCTCAGACGGTTCTCGAGCCCCGCTGAGAATTTGGAGTAGAACAGGAATGGTGGGGGGTTGGAAAGTGACATTATTGACGTAGAATGAGCCGTTGGAGTTCTTAACCGAGAGATTGAGGTTGATGTCTGCCTTTCCATACCCTGGAATGCCAGGGGCACCGGGATTGATCAGAGCATGCAAGTCGGTCTCGTTCAATTGGTTCTTGGATGCCGTATAGACTGTGGTTGGGTCGGCAATCGGGGCGCCTTGATAGCGCAGGATTGCAGAGTTCATTCCTCCCTCGTAGGACGCTTTTGTCAAATTGGGAAGACTGCGTATCCAGTAGTTATCCACCGACTTATCAGCCACCAGAACCACAGAGTAGCGCTGACCCGCAAAAATACGGAGCTCATCTACTACCACGGGTTCGGTCAGCTGTCCATCCGCTTCGATGACGGTTAAGTTGTGGCCATCGATGGAAAAATGGAAGCTGGGATCGCATGACATTGCAACCAGGCGCATGCGATATCGCTTTCCCGGCACGACATTAATCACAGCGAGATCAGACATGGGTCCGCCAGCATATCGACCGAGTCCATTGATGAGCGAGGAGTTGGCGGTTGTGCCTATGATGTGGCGCAAGACGGGGGCCGCAACGTGATACCTAGTGATACTACATTTGAGCAGGAAGATCACCAATATGCATAAGACTCACCAGTCAGAAAGTGTGATTACGGTGCTCGCTGGCAACAACAGGGGGTCAGCAGAGGGTAAATATCAACCAGTTGTTCGCTCACCATCGTCGACATCGTACATATATGCCAAAGGGTCATCAGGATCATAGATTACCAGGGGTCCCCTCAGACCATCACACTGTTAAAGAGGTCAGTCTTCTACTGCATGCACAAAGTTCGAGTGATACTTTCATATTGGACAGAATAATGACTATGATACCAGTAGGTGCCTGCCTGATTCGGAGCGGAAAAAGAGTGTAAAAAAGAGTGATTTTGCGCAATGGGGCATTGTGTAACGAAGGATGTCCCATCGGCATAATTCGTCCCATTCTGGAAGAGACCGTGCCAGTGCTGCAGTAAACAAGGTTAATCGATCGACAACGTGGATGATTTAATGATGCTCACGACACTGGTACTCTTGAACATCGTTTCGTCTTTGAGCTCGTTGACCACCTCGATGGCGAAGTCATCTCCCTGATGTGAGGTCAGCACTGGTGCACGAAAGGAGATCAATGGATGTTCACCTTCTGGGCCGTAATCAAAGGTCCAGGGAATATACCATCAACTAGAGTTGCTCTATTCAAGATCAGCAGTGAGCTTCGAGTGTCATTACAATAGACTCACGAGCGTGCGAAGCCATCAGGAGCGATGACCTTATTACCTATGGTTATTCTAGTTTTGGGGCCAAGCACTGCTGGCTGAGATAATGGGTAGGACTGCGAACGAGATGCTATCGATGCAGCGTTGATTGATGAAATGAGAGAAACGAGTAAAATAGGAATAAGCATTGTGAGTATTTACAATAGGTGGCACACTCTTCACCCGGGAGAGTAGTGGGATGCAGGATAAGATTATGATGCATACTTCTCGCAGCTTTTATCTCGCAAGGAGGTAGATGGACTTGAGTGTTTCCCGATTCAAAGCTGTTATTGCCTCGATCAATTCTCCAGGCCCGAAAATGGTTGCTCAGCGATCTTCAGCGCCTTGAACATCTGAATACCGACAGTGTACTGCTCCTGGGGTTAGAAACTGTCTGCCGACACCTTGAAGAATGGTGGCGTACCTTGAAATCATGACTCGGACACAACATAGACTAACTCAGATGGTCAGAACAGCCAACTGACCTCAGGTATCCCATAGCAGTGCGAGTGCTAGGTTGCTACAACAAAGACAGCTCTTCAAGTATAGGAAAGGATGCCGATAGCTAGTGACCTAGTCAGGCATGGCCATACGCTGTAGGCGCTGACCTGTCCAAGTGTCTTGAAACCGATCAAAAGTGTATATTGATGTTATCTGTGTTAGGCAACGTGTATAATTGTAATGATCACCTTGACAGAACGGGTGACATGGCGGGGGTATTATGCTAGCTTCTAACCCATACTGTCATTGTGAGAAGAAAAACGAGTGATGTACTAGCTCGTCAAAGCGCTGATCAGGCAGTGGCTAGGCGATCCAGGAACAGAGTATGTTGTGCCTGCTTCGTAGTTTCATCCCCGTCCATTAACGATCAAGAACGTGCCGTGTGTTCCAGATCATCTTGGTGTAGTATATCGGTTCAAACCATCAGTGAGTGCTGATTGCTAAGCTGAAATACATGTTAGCTTGTTGTAGACCTGAGAGTCTTATCGTGCGGCTATATTGCAAGATTGCCACTTATGGGCTAGATTAGCTCGCAACGCAAACCAGTGCATTGTTTCACACAGACCTGAGGCAACATTGGTCGGGACGACAATTTCCGAAGGTGTTGCACGGACCGCCACACAGAATGGGACACTATTGCAAGTCACGGTATACCAAGAGGTACTACATTAGTAGTATCACGGTAATTATGTTGTTGGAAGGAAAAGGTATTGCCGAGGGCGGTATTCAAAGCGGATTCTTTCCTCAAG